GTGTGTGTGTGTGTGTGTGCGCACGCGCGTGTGTGTGTGTGTGTGTGTGTGTGTGTGTGTGTGTGTGTGTGTGTGTGTGCTGCATGCACCACGTGCGCGCGTGCATGCACCACGTGCGCGCGTGCATGCATGAGCGTGTGGGTGTGCGTGCCTGTGCACGTGTATACGCATGCGAGAGAGGGGGGCGACTTCCCACATGCCCTATTTTGCAGGTGCGCATCTGGGCGTTCGAAGGGGTGCCCGGGTTGCTGCGTGGCGGCGTGTGCTTCACAACATCAACGCCGGCAGTGCTCTAGCCCCCTTGCCTCACATGGGTCTCTTGGACAAAACCCTACTGCTCCAAACACTCGACCATCTCAATAACACTCTCTGTTCTTCCATCTGTCTCTGCCCTTTGTTGAGCCGCACTCCCTGGATCATGCACCTCCGCCCTCCGTCTTTCCCAGGCCGCCAGCCCCGGCTGCGAGGTGTTCCTGCAGCCGCTCCCGCCCGGCCACCCCGGTCTGGCAGCCCTCAGGGCGCGCATCGAGGCCGTGCTGACGCGCGCCCTCGCGGCGCCGGCGGCGCTGGCGGCGGCTCTGGGAGAGTTTTCTGAGCTCCTCACCAGGGTGCGCAGCTTCTGTGTTTTTGCCTTTTTGGGAGGCAAGTCAATCTGGTCAACTTATGGTGTGGTTGCAGGCCAGCAGCACACACATGAGAGCATCAAGACACAAGTGGCGGGGAGGAGGTGGGCAGGACATGGGTGCATATATCATAGACAGCTTGGCTGCTGCTGCAATCACTCCTGAGTTGACGTTCCACGCGCGCCGCCCCTGTGCCTGGCCGGCGCTTTTCGCGGCCGCAGACCGCGGAGGAGCGCGTGGCGGCGTGGGAGGCGGAGGGGCACGAGCTCGAGGAGACGGGCGCTGAGCTGGAGCGCCTGCAGCAGGTGGGTGCTGTGCTGCGATTGGTGCGGGGGTTGATAGCTGGGGAAAAGCCGAAAGTCTGCTCGTCCTTTTAGCTGTGGACACTTGAATCAAGTGCAGTTGAGGCGGCCTATCACTCCTTTCAGTGCAGTGTGATTTGCATTGACCAGCGGCGTGGAGCTTGACAACACTGAAACCACTGGCCGTCACTCCATGAAACAAACTCCTGTTGTGTCGCACCGCAGCTGGCCCTGCGGGTGGAGGCGGCGGTGGAGCCATCGGTCTGCTTCCGCCTGGTGGCAGTCGACTGCAGCGCCGCCCGGGCTGCGCTGGCAGCGCGGGCACGCGCGGCGCGCGCGGCGCTGCAGGCGTGGCTGCAGGCACGGTGGCGCGCAGACAATGAGGCGGCGATCGACAGGCGAGCCTGCCCCCCTCGCACTGGCTTTGTCACGTGCATGCGGTGCAACCGGCTGGTGCACATGTTCTCGATCCCAGCCTGCACCGAGGCCACAGACACTGCCGCGTGTCGTGTGTCGCTTGGACCCTGTGGTGTGACCATGACATCATGATGACGTCATCCGCAGGTTCGAGGCCATCGCCCTGCGGCTGAACGAGGACCCGGCCGATGCAGAGGCCATGGATGCCCTCGAGCGCTTTGCTGCGGAGGCTTCCCAGGTGGGTGGTCATGTACGCGGGGATTTGAAAACACCGTGTAAACCACCTGGGCGCCGCCAGTGGGCAATATGTGTTAAAAATGGTGCTGCGAGTTGGGCCACCATCACTGATCAGCATGCATGCGCGCCACTAATGATGCAGTGTCACTGCGTGCATGCCTGCACGAAGCTGGGAGTCAAGAAGGGGCACGACGTGAGGGCTTCAGGCACTCAATCAGGCCCCTCCACTGGCCGTTGTCGAAATCCATGTCGCCGGCGGCGCCGTCAACATGCTCATCCAACTTCATTCTCGCCCCAGCTTGCAGGGCCGCCCTTGCATTATGCGGCCTGCACCTCTGCTGATTCGTATTGCCCCGCGTCCCCTATATCTGTCGCAAAGGAGCTGCCTGCCCTGGAGGAGCGCTGCGCCGCCGCCGCACTGGCGGGCGGCGTCCTGGAGGCCGGCCGCGCCGCGCTGGACGACGCCGCGGTCGAGGCGCACTGGCGGCTGCGCCGCTGGCCGCTCGCGCTGCAGGTGCGGGGGCGCATGTGGCGTGACGCGCGCCCCAGCGGCGCTTTGCATGGCCCTCTGTGTTCTGAGCTCGGCACGGCCTGCCTGCCTTAAAAAGGCTGATGTTGGGTTCTGCTTTCTTATGTGAATCGCGCCGTCAACCTGCGTATGGGGGTGCAGCCACCTTGGGGTCATTGAGGGTGCCCTGCAACCCTTTTTTTACTCTACTGGCCACCCTGAACCAACCTGATCAATTCAATCGCAAACTACATCATCACATTAACGTGCTGCTACACCTTCCAAACTCCAGGCCGAGCTCGCCGCCGCAGCTGCGCGGCTGGAGGGCTACCGCGGCCGCTACAAGCTGCAGCTGGCCGCAGACCAGCGCGCCCTGTCGCAGGACATCCAGGCAACAAAGGCGCGCTGCGGTTTGACCAGGCTTTGCCCGATGATTGACCGGCGTGCGCACGCGCGACCTCCACACATCGCGGCATGCTCGCCCCATCTCCACAATTGCAACCTGGGTCGTTGCCTTAAACTCTGCCGCTGGCATGTGTGTTTATGTGCATCTTGGCATGCGCAGGCTGATGTGGCGGCGTTTGTGCAGCTGGGCGGGCTGTCGTCTGTCGAAGACCGACTGGCGGCAGTGCAGGAGGTGGAGGCGCGGCTGGCGGCGCTCGGGGAGAAGGCGGCGGTGTATCAAGCAAGGTGCGCGGGCGGGCGCTGCGGCGCAGGCGGCGTGCGTGCGGCCTGGTGGTTGCGAAAACGAGTCGACATGATGGACGTGCAGCGGCAAGGCTGCATCATGCGAAGGCTGCTACGTCTGGAGAGTCAATGACAGGGTGCACCATTGAATCCACGACGACGACGGCGACACCGGCTCCGCTGGCACCTCTCAGCCTTGGACACCCCGCGCCCTCGCTGCCGCGCCGGCAGGGAAGACATCTTTGGACAGCCGAGGACGGAGCACCCGCAGCTGGCGCAGGCGAGGCCATGGGCCGGGGGCTATATTTGGATTAGCAGTGTTACACCGTCCGTCCGCTTCTGGCACCATCCAGGCTCATGGGATTGGATTTGAAGCATTGAGATGCCAGGCAGCGTCGGCCTGTGCAGCCTTCCCCGTGCCTGCGCCCTTCCCCCCCCCCCCCCATGCAGACTGCCTTTGAGTTGACCTGCTGAACCAGCTGCTAGCAAAACTCAGCTGCACGTCTATTCCTCACACCCCACCATCATCCACGTCACCCTCAGGTCGCCGCCTCGTTCGAGCCCTACGCCTCCCTCTGGCGCACCGCCGCGGAGCTGGGGCGGCGCCTGCCGGACTGGCTGGACGGGCCCTTTGACGAGATCGACGCCGAGGGGCTCGCGAACGACGTGGACACGTGAGCGGATGCATGTTTATTCAATCTTGCAGAAGTCATGGAAGGATGTGGCAACGTGCTTTGGCTGTGCGCTTCTCTAGTTGTACAGTACAATATCGCGGGCTTCAGATTGTTGAAGGAGCGGCGCTGTGTGACTTTGGTGGTGTGTGCTGACGCGCCTGCTGGTCGCATCCCAACACATGATTAGTCAGCAAAGTTTGTAGCCGTGCATGAACACACGTAACCACAGCTACTGCCGCACGCTGCGCTGAACACCTCGGCTCCTCGTCTGTCGCCCCCTCCTTGCCTGCCGCAGGTGGTGGCGCGGCAGTGCGCGTCTACTGAAGCAGCTGGAAGGGCCGGCCTTGGACGTTGCCAACGCAGTGCGCTCGCAGCTGCAGGCGAGTGACAGATGGTTGGGGTGACAGGGGACCGGGGTGCCAGCAGGAGCGTTTACGCAGTACCATTACCACCAGGTTTCCTGAGCCACAAACGGCGCGGGCACTTCTGTCTCCAATACTGTATGGCCTGCTGCTGTATGGCGACATATGATCAGCGCGTGCCCGCCGCTTGTGCTTGCTGGCTGTAAGACAAGGGCGGACATAATCACTCCTCTCCCGTTTCTGCCCTGCAAGCTGTCCTTCTTGTTATCCTCAACTCTTCACACTTCCTGCCCTAGAACTGCACCTGTCATCTTTCTTGGTCAACCCACGCAGGATTTCCAAAAGCACGTGCCCCTGATCACCGCCCTGCGCAACCCCGGGCTGAGGGGCCGCCACTGGGAGCGCATCAGCGCGGCCGTTGGCTCGTCCATCAAGGGGGACGCAGGTGCGGGGGCGGCGCGCTCTTGAGGCCGCGTGGATGTCGCTGGCAATTCTTCCCTACCCACTCATGCATTTGACGCTCTTTCAGAAAAATCATGACAAAGCAACGGCGTGTCCTCCCTTCGTCCGTCCCTCCAGGGTTCAGCCTGAGCCGCGCGCTGCAGCTGGGGCTGCCGTCGTTTGTGGGGGCCATTGAGGAGGTCAGCGAGTACGCGTCAAAGGTGAGGCTCTGTGGGGGCCTGTGAGTTGAGGAGGTCGGGCTACCAGGCTACCCCGTTTATGCTGTCGCCTTGGACACCGTGGCTCCGCTGCACGCAGCTTGGCCATCCGGTGTCGCTGGGTGTATTGGAGGAGGAGGATGGGGCCACTGTAGTGCCTGTGTGAGGGACACTTGGCAGTTTACCGACCCAGGCATGCCTGGGTCCAGAGCCTGGGTCGTTTCAACATCGCCTTGCTGAACTGGCTATTGTGAGGCGGACAATCACGCGGTGGCTGCTTCGTACCTCTGCGCCCCCTTGTTGAAGTCGACCAACTTACCACGGAAAGCCAATGCCGTCCTGTCCGAAACCCACCTCTGTGATGGGCCCGCAGGAGTTTGCCCTGGAGCGCACCTTGGATAAGATGCAGGCCGAGTGGGCAGGCGTCGCGCTTGGCGCGGCGCCCTGGCGGGCGACGGGCACCAGCGTGCTGCGGGGCACCGACGACATCCAGCAGCTGCTGGACGACCAGGTGTGGCCCGGGGCGGCGCGCGATCAACCGTTGGTCAAACCCTGAGGAACTTGGTCAATTTGCAGCCAAAATGTGATCGTTTCAGATTCACCATCCCTGGCATGTGGGCAGTGGATTCTCGACCCTTGAATCCTAGGTCGCGCGACTGCTTGGCCTGCATGTGCTGCTTTCTACCTGGCGATTACATACGTCGTACACACCCTCATGCCCGCAGGTCGTGAAGACGCAGTCCATGCGCGCGTCACCCTACATCGGGCCCTTTGAGGAGCGCGTCAAGGCCTGGGAGGCAAAGCTGGTGCTCACGCAGGACACGCTGGACGCCTGGCTGCAGTGCCAGCAGGTGGGCGGGGGTTAGGGGTTCAGGGTCTAGGGCGTAGGGTTGAGGGTTTAGGGTAGGGGCAAATGACAGCAACAGCAGGTGAGAGGCCGGTGTTTGGGGGGGGGGCAAAGGGGAAAAGGGTCCATTGCCTTGGTCTGGAGATCTTGGTGGCCAGAGACATCGGGAGCTTTGCTGCAGCGCCAGCAGGTTGGGGGGGGGGGGTCAAGGTTGAAAACCTAGAGACAGTCACTTGCCTTGGTTTGAGGGGCTTGGTGGTCAGAATCGCTGGGGTGCCCAGCTTCAATGGCAGCAGATGCGGGTCAGTTTTTGCTGGACAAATGGGGCCAAAAGGAAGGCTGGCTGCCACGTTTTGGGGAGCTTGGTAGGGGCTGGATGGCACGATGCACCCTGACGGAGGGCCTCGGCAAACACGAAAGGCATTCTGCTTCATGGGACGCCCCCCCTTACCCCTGAACGGCAGGGCTGGCTGTACCTGGAGCCAATCTTTGGCAGCGAAGACATTATGCAGCAGATGCCCAATGAGGGTCGCAAATTCAGGTGGGCTGCCCCAAAACTCTAAATCCTGAGAGAGTCCGGTGGCGTACACCAGCTTTTTGAAGGCTTCCACGCTGGGCGTGGGCTGGTGGTGCTCTCTGCACTACTGCTGCTGCTGCCGCTGCTGCTGCTGCTGCTGCCCTCGCTGCTGCTGCTGCTGCTGCTGCTGCCCTCGGTGCTGCTGCTGCTGCTGCTGCTGCTGCCCTCGCTGCTGCTGCTGCTGCCGCCGCCGCCACCGCTGCTGCTGCTGCTGCTGCTGCTGCTGCTGCCGCCGCTGCTGCTGCCGCCGCTGCTGCTGCCGCCGCTGCTGCTGCAACGTCAGCCCTTCATTAGGTCCAGGAAATATGTGCAGAGGCATGCTGAACCTGCACACCCGCAGACGGGCTCCGCAGTGGGCAGCAACAAGCCTGTTGGTCCCCAACTTGCTTGTTTGTGAGTCTGCCCTATGCCTGTTCAACGGCAACGGGCATGCCATGCGTCCGACTGTGTTTAAAATGTGGCGGCCGCAGGTCCGTCGACGCCACCTGGCGCCGCGTGATGGATAAGCTGGCGAAAGGCGGCGGCGACGTGCTGGCGGTGACGGGGGACGAGGAGCTGCTCAAGACGCTCAACGAGGCCAACGGCCTGCTGGAGCAGGTGGGGGCGGCCTGCTGAGGTTTTTGGGGACTTGTTTTGTTGGCCGCGTGTCGTCTCACAAAGGGATGTCGTTGCGTGAGGCTGTATACGACAGGGTCCTATCCGCCCGCGACCCTGCCCTCAATCCCAACGGCCAACCCCAATACCCCTGCGCCGACGCCCGCCACCCAACGCCCCCAACCCCAAAATCCCAGCCCCAAATCTCAACCCCACAACATCAAAACATCAACCCCACTCCCAGGTCCAGAAGGGCCTGGCAGACTACCTCGAGACCAAGCGCCTTGCTTTCCCCCGGTGAGGCCCCGGGACCCCTACTAAGCCGCGATCCCCTTGCTCTCTGAAATCATGAAGCTGCGCTTGCCCCGCTGCTGTGTTCGCTAGCGCACTGCATTTTGGCTGGAACTGATGCTGGGGGAGCCGTGTTTGGGCCTTCACACCCAGATTTTCCAATCACCAGCTTGCGATCTAGGAT